TGACAGGAGTAAATTGAAAATTAAAGATTTTGTGAGGTTACATTTTGGATAGTCGCTCAGATAGCCAAGCGGACCAGGCGGCCGATTCTAATTCGCTTCACTGTCGAATGGTTAAGGGGATGTCGGTTCAGGTCCTGGCTTGGTGTACAGAAAAATAAAAAAGGCTAATGGAGCAGATTAAAAATCTAAAATGAATCTGCGGAATAGACTAAAATATGCTGGTGTCTGATCGGCCTATGGTGGAGCAGTAGGGCAAGATATAAGAGCTTGTGTCTCGGTGATACTCCTCCATAGATCTCTACCGGAAGGACGTGGCGCCTAAATACCGGTATATATACATACATTTGGGATTGTAAAACAAAATAATGTATACTATATTATTATATTATTTAAATGGGAATAAGCCACAATTAAAGGTAAAATTTAGTTTATTGACGTTTCAATTTTCACTTCGGAAATCGTTCTCAAAATACAAACATTAGTAAATTTAAATATTAATAACTTTACAATGTTACAAGAAAATAGCTTCAAAGTGTACTACTTACTTACAAAGTGTTACTTACAAAGTGTACTATGTTGGGAGAATCATTGGTAAATGTGATGATGGGGATGTTGAAATTTCATTTTTGAGAATCTAAAGTAAATTATAAATTTTTCTACCCCATCGTACCAGATATCTCTAGTGCTTCTTTATTAGAAATTGTAGCCCTTTTGCTAACTCTTCCTGAGTAGGGTACAAATCGACAGAAATCAATATTCTCTTTTTCAGTTTAATTTTCATTAGTTTTAAATATTGTAATAAATAATTTATAAAACAATTATATGAGGTTGTTATTTTTCCAATTGTGTCTGAAGCTGTTCTATTCCCCGTCTGAAGGTACCCCCAACTGGGGCAACTTCAGATGTTTTTGAAAAAATTGGCTTTGATTTTTTTGGCAGGGAAAGTTGGGTGAACAATGTATTTTATGAATATTTTCTTTCTTTATTTGGTGATGTATTTAGAGTAATATGACAGTTCAAATTTTTATTTTTTGAAGGAGCCCCACTCTCACCTACTAACTATAACGAAACTCTAGACGATAACGTCATTAGCAGCAAGCCATAAATAGGACTATATCTACGACCTAAAAATTAAAAAGATCAAAATTGTATAAAATATAATTCTCTTTATTTTTGCTTATACAGGGTGAGTCACGCTCAACGGGACGGAGCCTACCGGGGAAACGGCTAAAGATATTAAAAATTTCTTTTGCAGGAATACGTAGGTTACTACCGGCTACAAACTAAAATTTGTGAGATATATACAGGGTGTCCCAATTTGGCGTAATGATATAAACTTATACTTTTTTAAATAGAACAACATATATTTCACTTTAATTTTGAATTCTACTGAAAAAAATAATGTTACTTTATTCAACATTCCCTATACCTATTTTTGACCGGTTTCGATTTATTTGGGTTTTTCTGAAAATGTACTATTTGCAAAATTAAATAATTACACAATATAGCATGAATTTTAATTAACGCCTTTTTGTCAGTTAATTGTCAAGTGTTCATGCTTTACATCAGAATAATTACCATTTAAAACTAATCTACAGAGTGTTCGCAATCTGAAGTGTCAATGCTGTACCATATTTTGTATAATTACTTTCTTAACTTAAATGGGACCCCTGTATTTTACTTTAATTTTGAATTCTAATTAAAAAAATAATATTACTTTATTAAACAATCCCTATACCTATCTTTGAGAATTTTCGATTTATTTGCGTTTTTTTGAAAATGCACTATGTATTCTTGAAATTAATTAATTTTTATCACTTTTACATAAAGTTCTACTCTAACTTAAACAAAAACCCTGTATTTGAATGTTTGTAACAATTATTATAATCAAACTATTATAAAATCTTATATTAATATTTAGTATCTTCAAATTTATTTGCATTATGTTACCTGGAACATTAAATGTCATTACATAGCTCGTTATTATAAAGAATCCCATGAAAAAACAAAAGGTACCTAGCTGTCAAACTAATTGTCAAACTATTAACTGTATTGCTTTCAATTAAATAGAAATGGCAGATTATTCAATTGAAGACCGAGTAAATATGATTTTAATACTGGGTGAATGTGATCAAAACAGTTTGTTAGCATCAAGAGTCTATGCTGAGAGATTTCCCTTAAAACGTCATCCTCGTAAAGAAGTATTTGACAGAGTTTTAACAAGGTTTTGTGAAACTGGCAGTATTGTTAATACTAAACGAAAATTAATCAATCCGATAACTGAAGATGAAAATACCGAATTAGAAGTTATTCAATCAGTTATTGAAAATCCAAATACAAGTACAAGGACGATGGCCAGGGAGATTGAAGTAAGCCAAACTAGTATATGCAGAATTCTTAAAAAATATCAATATCACCCATACCATATTCAAATGCATCAGCATTTGTATGGAACTGATTTTGAACGTAGGTTAGAATTTTGTTTATGGTTTCTAGACAAAACGGGAGCAGATCAACATTTTTTTGATAAAATTTTGTTCACTGGTGAATTTACTTTCCATAATAATGGACTCGTGAACCGACATAACTTTCACTATTATAATAATACGGAAAATCAACATGAATATAGATGTACTGATCGACAAAACCGATGGTCCCTTAATGTATATGGTGGAATAATAGGAGAACATGTGATAGGACCGTATTTTTTTAATGGCCATTTAAATGGACAAAAGTTTTTAAGATTTCTACGAAGAGACTTTTGGATACTGTTGCAAAGTATCCCTTTAAATATTAGAAGAACAATGTTTCTGCAGCTAGACGGTGCTCCAGCACATTACACGCGTAACGTTAGAGAATATTTAGACAGAAAATTTCCCGAAAAGTGGATAGGTAGGGGTGGTGCTTTCAATTGGCACCCTAGATCACCTGGGTTAACATCAATGGACTTTTTTTTTGGGGATATATTAAAAGTTTGGTTTATCAAACTCCACCTACAACCGCTGAAGACATGAAAACGCGTATTCGTAATGCGTTTACAACAGTTACTCCAGAAATGCTAAGAAGAGTTAAACAAAATTTTGAACACAGAGTGAGGTTATTTATTAAAAAAAATGGACACCATTTTGAACATTTAATGTAAATTAATTTTTTTCTAGTGTGTTTTGTTTAACTTTATGTAATAAAGTGTAATTAATTAATTTCAAGAAAAGTGCATTTTTAAAAAAACCCAAATTAATCGAAAATTATAAAGGATAGGTATAGGGATTGTTTAATAAAGTAATATTATTTTTTTGATTAGAATTCAAAATTAAAGTAAAATACAGGGTGTCCCATTTAAGTTAAGAAAGTAATTACACAAACTATTATACAGCATTGACACTTCGTATTGCGAACACTCTGTAGATTAATTTCAATTGGTAATTATTCTAATGTAAAGCATGGACACTTGAAAATTATTTGACAAAAAGGCGTTAATTATAATTGATGCGATATTGTGTAATTAATTAATTTCGCGAATAGTACATTTTCAGAAAAACCCAAATAAATCGAAACCGGTCAAAAATAGGTATAGGGAATGTTGAATAAAGTAACATTATTTTGTTCAGTAAAATTCAAAATTAAAGTGAAATATAGGTTATTCCATTTAAAAAAGTATAAGTTTATATCATTACGCCAAATTGGGACACCCTGTATATATCTCACAAATTTTAATTTGTAGCCGGTACTGACCTACGTATTCCTACAAAAGGAATTTTTAATATCTTTAGCTATTTCCCCGGTAGGCTCCGTCCTGTTGAGCGTGACTCACCCTGTATATACATTCATGTCGCAAATTAACAATTATGCTTCTTCACCCTTGAATATTTTCCACTAACTTGAAAAATATCGACCGCACGAAAAAATTTGTAAAAAAGAAATTGCAGAAAATCGCATTTGCAACAATTTCAATTAATTTTTTATCTAAAAGCAGAAAATTGGTGGAGGTATTGAGCAAAGAAGATTCATCTTTAAAATCAAAATGGTAGCTAATTCAGTGGCGATCTTAAATTTTACTACTTACGAACTACTATTGACTTCCCCCAAAGGTTAAACAAATAAAATTTGGGACAGCTCGTCATACAAGGTCAAATGCTATCCCGACTGGACTATTTTTACTTTTCACGAGGAAACTAAGTTCCTGTAGCTGGCTGTATACCATATATCACAAAAAAATTTGTTTAAAATCCTTTATAAAAGGTATATAAAAATGCCCCAAACGGACTATCACAAACACATTGCAAAACGTTTTCGGATTAAACAATCCATCATCAGTGCAAACGGTTGTACATGCTAGTAGCCACTAAAATATATGGGTAAAAACCCTTTAAATGTTTTTAAATTTGTAGTTGTTTTACATTATTAGTATTTATAATTTGTGATGTTTAAGTTACCGTTGGATAGGTAACATGGCGGCGTATGACTCTACATGAGTAAAATGGTCCTGAGACTTTATGACTAAGACTTGTATAACAGGTCCTCGTAGACACTTCGTCTCAGGACCATTTTACTCATGTAGAGTCATACGCCGCCATGTTACCTATCCAACGGTAACTTAAACATCACAAATTATAAATACTAATAATGTAAAACAACTACAAATTTAAAACATTTAAAGGGTTTTTACCCATATATTTTGGTGGCTACTAGCATGTACAACCGTTTGCACTGATGATGGATTGTTTAATCCGAAAACGTTTTGCAATGTGTTTGTGATAGCCCGTTTGGGGCATTTTTATATACCTTTTATAAAGGATTTTAAACAAATTTTTACTTCTATTATTTACACTTAATAACTGTGTAACTTCTTGTTGCGGTAATGTTAGTGACACATTTTAATAAAATTTTAAAATATTCGAATTGGACCTAAGAAATTATTACTCTTCAAACATACCAACTATGAACAATTTATTTTTAAAAATTATTTACATAACCATTAAAATATGCTTTTCATTTTTTAGCCTGGTGGTCGACCCGAAGCAGATTTCACGTTGGATGTGCCACGATCTGAACATCTCCTAAAACGAATGCAAAACGACAAGAAGTGGCGATGCCGATGTAGACTTCTTACTTCCTTTTTTGGCATCGTATTTTTCTTGTTATCCGTAATGGCAGTCAGCCTGATCCTCACGAGGGGAAAGAGGATGTTTGGCTCAATGGTGTAGGTAAAGAGTGATACTGACTTGACGATGAAAAATACTATTGTTTGTGGTTGCTTATTATTTTTCGAAAAATAATTTGCCTTGTTTTTAAATATTGTTCTGAAGCTATTTTCTTGTGGCATTTTAAATTAATTACTGTTAAACTGGGAATAAGCCACAATTAAAGATAAAAATACGTTTATTGACGTTTCAATTTCCACTTCGGAAATCGTTCTCAAAATACAAACAGTAAATTAAACAAATTTTGTTTTTTTGTTACATAGTGAAAAATTCTTCTAATAATTTAATTTTATCTGACTCATTTATATTGACAATTCAGACATACATTATGCATTTTAAAGTAGACGACTTTAAAATGATATTGCCAATATTGTTGAGTTGCGCTCCTGGGACGACTTTACTTATAAGATAGTTCATTCGATTACATGAAATCAACTTTAACTTGAGAATATCCGTCAGAAAAAATCATAGCATGTAATTCGTCTTTAAAAAGACAAACACATGACATGATGACAGTAAAATTCTCCTGTTAGTGATTCCATAGTAAATTATGAGGGAAAAACCAGGAAAAAAACCTCATAATACTATCCCGACATTGTAAGTATTTGTTCGTGAATTTAGTTTACCTTCAACAAACATCAAAATTCTGATTTTATATGTTACGTTATTTAAAAAACATAAATGATGTATCCTCTATATGTTACTGACTTACTAATACTGGTATTTTCTTATTAATAACTTCCTCTTTCAATATTGGTAACCAGATCCTACTACATTCTGCCGAGGAATTTGCGACACAATTGGCCTCATTTAGCATAATTAGAGCCGCTTCTTTGATTTTTCTTTTTTTACCATCCGTTTCTTTTAGGACTACATTTGAATTATTCCATTGAACCCTATGTTCATTATCCCATGCGTGTTTACAGATTTGAGATCTATCAAATTCTCTATTTTTAATATAAGATTGATGTTCACTTATTCTAACATTTAATGGCCTTGATGATTCACCTAAATAAAACTGATCGCATTCACAAGGTATTTTATAAATGCAATTCTTTGTCCTTTCTTGTTCATTGTTAGGTTTGGTTTTGGACAAAATAGATCTCAACGTGTTTGTTGTTTTGAATGTTGTTGAAATGTTGAATTTATTTCCTATCCTTTTAAGTTTTTCTGATAATCCTTTTATGTACGGTATTGTTATTTTCCTCATATTATTCCTTGTGTATGCTGTAGGATCTCGTTCTAAGTTGTTCTGTTCTATTCGATCGATTGTTGAAAATTCCTTATTTATAAACGATAAAGGATAATCATTTTTTAATAAAACAGATGTTAACAAATGTTTCTCCTCCAAGAACGAATTTTCGTTAGAACAAGTAATTTTGGCTCTATCGTATAAGGATTTAATTATTCCCTTTTTTACATTAATATTGTGATTTGATTTGAAATTTAAATATCTATTGGTGTGTGTTGGTTTTCTATACACCTGAGTCTCATATCCAGTATCGTTCTTAGAGATTAAAACATCCAGGAAAGGTAGCGTGTTATTATATTCCTTTTCCATGGTAAATGTTATTGTCTCTTCTTTATCGTTTATATCATTTAGGAATGTGTCCAACAACTCTGATCCATGAGGCCATATTGCGAATACATCATCTACATACCTCCACCATACTGTGGGTTTGAAATTTTGTTTAGAAATGATATTTGTTTCAAAATCTTCCATAAATATATCGGCTAAGAATGGAGATAAACTAGAGCCCATTGCTAGACCAAAATTTTGTTTAGAGAATTTATTATTTAGTTGAAAATATGTATTATCAGTACATAATGTTAATAACTCCATTTATAGCCGATATGTTTAGTCTTGTTCTAGTTGCCAATGAATCATCACTCTCTAATTTTGTCTTGACTATACTTAAAGTCTTATTTAATGGCACATTCGTAAATAAACTATTTATGTCAAAACTTACCAAAGTATGATTTGAATTAAATTCAATATTTGATAATTTATTTAAAAAATGTTGTGTATTTTTTATGAATGTGTCATTTTTATTTGTAAATGGTTTTAAAATATTTAATAAAATTTTTTTGATAGTTCACTACAAGGAGAATTCATGGTACTACAAATGGGTCTAAGTGGTATATTTGTTTTATGAATTTTCGGTACTCCATAAAAATGAGGAGTCTTACTGTAATGAGGTGTAATTAATCCTCTCTGATAACTTGTTAAAACATCTTTAAACTTGAATAAAGTTCTGTATATTTTGTTTTCCAAAGGCTTTGTTGGGTCTTTTGTTAATTTTGTATAAAGTCCGTTTATTACCAGATCTTTAATTTTATTTTCGTATTGAATTTTATCCATTATCACAGTTGCATTCCCCTTGTCTGCTGGTAGGATGATTATGGAGTCGTCATTTTTTAAAGTTCTTATAGCCTTTAGTTCCTCTTTGCTTAGGTTTTGTTCAATTTTAGTAGATTTTTTCAATTCAAGTTTACATAACACTCTGTATTCTTCCTTTTCGTGGGTTGGTAAGCATTGAGATATTGGCAATATTGGCAATATCAACAATATTGGCAATATCATTTTAAAGTCGTCTACTTTAAAATGCATAATGTATGTCTGAATTGTCAATATAAATGAGTCAGATAAAATTAAATTATTAGAAGAATTTTTCACTATGTAACAAAAAAACAAAATTTGTTTAATTTACTGTTTGTATTTTGAGAACGATTTCCGAAGTGGAAATTGAAACGTCAATAAACGTATTTTTATCTTTAATTGTGGCTTATTCCCAGTTTAACAGTAATTAATTTGTTTTTTAAATATTTAATAGAATAAATCTAAACTATTAAATGAACAAAACTACCCATTAAACGTTACTAATATCGCCAGTATTCGAATAAAATATTTAATATTCTGAATTTAATGCAAAGTAAACGCAATTTTAGTTAAAAATTCGTTTACTTTGACGTTTAGAGTTCTACTCTGGAAATAATTTTGAGAACGATTTCCGTTTTCCATTTTAACTCTTCCATTTTTATTTGAGACTTTTAAGTTGGTAGTAGATTTTGCCAGAAAAGAGATACAACAGGTTTTATTTAAAAGGAAATAACTATCTATTTATATAAAAGGCTAGGACGACAAGTCACACTGTTTGTCCAGTAGAGTAACTACGCCACCTAGGAGAATCTGAATCATATTTTGTTCTTGAAACGATACGGTTGCTTTATTGCTAATGGATTCTACCAATTGATAATTCAAATATCCTTACTCGGACATTTTATTACTTCCCATTTCCATTTCAATTTTGCTGCTTGACGCTAGACGCGATAGAACAAGCAGCAAAATTTTACTACTTAATTAGTAATTAATGTTTTCGAAAAATTGCTAAAAATATAGGTTACTGTAACTGTAAGAATAATATAAAAATATATACACTTAATATAAAAATAAAATGACGTTTAACAAACGTCAACGTTTTAAAAATTAAATAAAGTTAAGTAAAATTTAATAAAATTAATTAACATTAAACAGAATTAAATATAATCAAATAATATTAAATAAAATTAAATAAAATTAAATAAAATTAAATAAAATTAAATAAAATTAAATAAAATTAATTAAAATTAAATAAAATTAAATAAAATTAAATAAAATTAAATAAAATTAAATAAAATTAAATAAAATTAAATAAAATTAAATAAAATTAAACAAAATTAAATAAAATTAAACAAAATTAAATAAAAATAAATACAATTAAATAAAATTAAATGAAATTAAATAAAATAAATAAAATGAAATAAAAATATAAAAAATTAAATAAAATTAATGAAAATTAAATAAAATTAAATAAAATTCAATCAAATTAAATAAAATTAAATAAAGACAAATAAAATTAAATTAAAACTATAAAAAATATCTCCTCCTCAATCCTTTAGCCCTTGTCAGGGCGTAGTGACACCCTAAATATTGTTAGTCTGCTGTCTCCATTGACTGCGATCTTGTGCCATATGGACGGCCTTATGTAGGGATTTTCCCACCAAACTCTTCATTTGGTCTACCCATCGTATTGGAGATTTTCCTCTTGGTCTTCGGCCTTCTACCTTTCCTTCTACTACCAATAGTTCCATGGTGCCCGTTCTTCTAGCTATGTGGCCGAAGTAAGTTAGGTATGCTTGGTTTACTTTTTTTAGTAGCCTGTCTTTTATATGAAGCTCTTCCAGAATTGACAGGTTGGTTCTATGTTCTGTCCAGGACACGCGTAGAATTCTTCTATATACCCACATTTCGAAGGCTTCGATCTTACTCCTATCGATTTTTTTGAGAGTCCATGTTTCAGCTGCATATGTAGCAATGGGAAAAATAAGGGCATTGACCAACCTGATCTTAGTATTCCTTGTTATTGTTCGGTCTTTCCATATTTTAATTAATTTAGCAGTTGCGGTTCGGGCCATTCCTAGTCTACGTTTGATTTCTGAGGAACAATCACCATTGTTGGTTATCAGAGAGCCCAAGTATACAAATCTGTCGACTACTTCGAAAATCCCTATTTGGCGTATATGCGGTAGATTATTATTTGCTCTGTCTACAATCATTATTTTTGTTTTTCCGGTGTTGATTTGAAGTCCGAATTCTTCACTTATTCGGCTTAGCCGTTCGATGATGGTAATCATTTCGACTTCATTCGCTGCTAGTATAAGTGTGTCATCTGCGTATCGCAGGTTACTGATTTTTCTGCCTCCTATAGTGATTCCTCCATCCCATTCATCTAGTACTTTTCTCATTATATATTCAGAATATATGTTGTACAATAATGGTGATAGTATGCAACCTTGTCTAGTTCCTTTCTCTGTTTTGAATGCATTTGAATATATTCCATGTACTTTAACTTTGGCTGAGTTTTTATTATACAGATTTCTTATTAGGTTAACTAGGTGGTTAGGTACTCCAATATTTTCCATTATACTCCAGAGATGATCCCATTTTACTGAATCAAAAGCCT